TACATTTAGCTAATCAATTTTATTTAATTTCCTTCAAACCATATGATTAACGTTAAATATTAGTTTTCATATATTATTATTTATATTTTTTTCGCCACTCTCCGTTACCTTCCACAACTTTCTATATTAAATATTGTTTTTTCTAAAATTCTTCGCTTTCCAACGATATATTATTTCCGGAGATTCATTTTCGACCTGGATAAGCATTTTTATTTCTTTCTTCTTTATTCAATAATTAAATTCTTTCAAAAGTTATAATTATCATTTTTTCGCAACTCTAAATAATGTAAGATGATGAATTATTTAAAATAAATCATATTAAAGGTACTTTAGAGGAAGTCGTATATGAACATTGGGTATTTAAACCCCCTAAAGTGACATCAATGGGGATAAAACCTGATTTATGTAAAACATCACTTCATAATACAATAATACACCGAGTTTAATAAAAATCGTTAGAGCCGTTTTTGAGAATATAGTAAAAATGTTTTTCAGGGTTGATATAAAGTGGCACTTCCGGTTAGATGATTTTAAGGAAAAAGTTGCTGTGACATCTAAGGCATATGCCTATCTTAAATACGTAATATACAGACATACAGACACACAACCATTTTGCGGGACTTGGTTATTTGGACTCAGGGTACCTCAAAACGTTTATTTCCGTTGGAAACTCATATTAGGAAATTTTCAGGATCGCAATACTTTCTCGTACTATATATTACATATATAGGTAAGTGAAAGTAAAAAAAATCCGGTGCGGTGGGTGCATCACACAACTTTCACTTACCACGCTCTTCTTAGCAGAAAAAGGGATTTTCAGATAAAGGAGAAGTGAAAGTAAAAATTATTATTTATTTATATTTCATTGTGGGTATTGTTTATTTGTAAAAGTATCCTTATAAATACAAATTAAATATTAAATAATACCAACAATAACATTTATGAAAACCACATATGTATATTTATACAATATTGACGGAATCCGTATTATATTAAACTCAAGTTAGGAATGGAAGCATGTTCTAATATTTCGAGTGCGCTCATGTTCCTTTGGTTCCTCAGTTACAACTATTCTCCGTTACGTTCTTTTATTTCTCCTTCAGTTAAATATCAAATTCTTTCATATTTTATATTTAACTATCTTTTATATTAGTGATTAATGTGAAATGGTCATTTGCTTCAAATAAAAAAATTAAAGGTACCTTAGAGGAAGCTAACATTAAAAATTAGCCATTTAAGCCTTTTAGAGAACACCTATCAGAAGAAAAACTACATTTTATTAAAACTGCTTAATTTAACACTGATATGATAAATTGAATCAAAATCGTTAGAGACGTTTTCGAGAGTATCCTAAAAATGTGTTTAGTTCATTATTTAAAGTGCCACATCCGGTCAGCCGATTTTGACGAAAAAGTTGAAGTACCATCCCTAGCATATAAAAACCTTAAATATGCAATTTCACTTTCGTATGACTTTTAGTTTTTTAGCAAGACTGTTAACACGCACCACGGGCGGATCTACGGGGGGGGGGGGGCTTTCGGGCTGAAGCCCCCCCCCCCAAAATGGCAAAATATAACCATGTTTTATGGAAAAAAATATTAAAAAATTATCTCTTAAAGTCTTATTGTTCGTGTAATTACATATAAAAGGACTTAAGGAATCACTTAAACACCATTTCATATAGATAGTTAGTTTCTTTCTTTTTTTCCAAAGTAATTATCGTCATTTTTATGAAAAAAAAAAGCTTTCGGGCTGAAGCCCCCCCCCAAAATCAAATCCTGGATCCGCTAGTGACACACACACACATACAGACCATTTTGCGGGACTTGCTTATTTGGACTCAGGGGACCTCAATTTCTCTATGTATTTCCGTTGAAAACTGAGATTCGAAAATTTCCACGATCGCAATACTTTCCTTTACTATATATTTCATATACAGGTAAGTGAAAGTAAAAAATTTAACAACAGTGATTTAACTGTAAACATTTAACGGTTATAGTATGAAGAGGTAAAATCTATTTTGTTCTATTTGTATCCAATTCAATTTATTTGTTTTGAATCCCAATTTTCATTGGGTCCCGATATGGGACAGGGATGAACCAGTTTGGACCAGAAGTCCAATAATCAAGTCAGGTTATTGCCCAAGGTCGCAGAAATGTTTATTTAGATTTTTAATCATAGAAGTAATATTAATGCTAAATAAAAAAAATACATTTAAGTATTTCTAAAAATGTAAAAAAGTGCCGATTACATTTAAAGATAATAATAATTTTTCAAAGTGACTCATCATTTTCATAAGAAATAGGTTTATAGGAAATTATTTTTAATTGAAATCTTGAAATGAGATTTTTATATCAACACTAGTGATTATTACTTTTCATTATTATTCATTATTTACTAAGGCAGCAATTCACAGAAATTTTTAAAAATTGTATTTGTTATTACTTCTGAAGATATTCATTAATTTCTGTATCATTTTTCCTCCCAATTATTAAGGAATCCAAAGTTTATAATTAAAATTATTGGAAAAATGTCACTTCGTAAGCATTGTTGAAACAGATCGATCTATTTCATGCCAATTAATCTAGACAATGTATTTGTTATGACAACAATAAAACAAGACAAAAAAAGTGACAATAGAATAACAGCCCTCAACTGATTATTTATTCTATACAAGAATAATTTCCCAGTTACATGTAGCACTTGGATGTCAAACATGATGAATAACAGAATTGAAATTTCTTCAAAGTTAAAATGTTTGTTACTTCAGCCTGAAGTCACCATAACTTAATATCAAAATCATTCCTTTAAAACACAACTTTTAAACAATTGCCCAAAAATGTTAATCTACAAAACATGTTAAGATAATGTATTTTTATTACAAAGTGCTACATATAAATTAGAATTCATTATAAACTTTACCTACAAGCTATAAAACATGAATGACAGAACTATTATATGTCCGATTCCCTGAATAACAGTTAAATCTTTTATATTGTTCAGAAGTCTAACTTAGGCATTATGAATAATTCTAGAAATCAATATGTTAAAAATGGGGCATATTCTTCGAATATCAGACAAATTCATTTTCAAACATTTTAATTGGTCATAGATTATTATGAGAATTTATTAGAAAATTTTATTGCACTACATTTGAAAGTAATTCTGTCACCTCATGATAATTAAGAATAAAATTTTTTTAATTAAAAAATTGGAAAATGGGTTTGGCTCGTTCTGAATTCTATGCCTGAAAAATATTGTAAAAGCTCCTGAAAATATATTATAAACTATGAATTTTATAATCAGTGGATATTTCAAACAGTAATAGAATAGATATTAATCATTTGAATAAATAAATCTTGGACCATCAAATAAATACTTTTTTATTTAATTCAGCTGTTAAGACAGGAGATGAATATTGAAAGCAATAGTTTAATTGATGCTAGAAATTGAAACAATACCATTTTCAATAAAAACAGTAGATACACAATCTTTTACAACTATAGAATAATAAGTAATTTGCAATTTTCTCAGATTAAAATTCACAAAATTGGTTAAACATATGCAATTTAGAAAATAAATATAATATATTTTAAAAAGTACTTTAAAATTCTTGCCGAGGAATTAAATTAATTTCAAATAATTACCATAATGAATCGTAAATGACATTTATAAATAATCACAACACTTCGACCCCTCTTAACTAAAGGCTCATTAATGACAGCTGATAAATGGTTACAAAACCTCAGGAATTAAATATAAATCAATAAATGTTAATATTGTCTTTTCAACCCAACATAATTGAACAGTTAAAAGTAACACATACTAACATAAAGAGATCCAGGTATTGTTAGTGAAAATACTATAGCAAACTAGTCGATACTCATCTCGAGTTTTACTAAGATAATTTTGATGATAAAAAGTGAATAATACAGCAACTTAAACATCCAATGGCTATTTCATTTAGCACAATATGCAAAATGTAATAGCTCATTGACAAGTTGACTTGTCACTTGACAACTACAATAAAGATGAATTTTTGGGAGTACTTACCATTCCAAGAGAAAATATGAGAAGGCAGAGAATGAGCAGTATACACACGGGGTAAATTTGTGGCTAAGGGGCTATCCAAATGTTCATCGTTTGAACTACTGTCAGTCTCTACAGATTCTGACAGGTCGAACGTAGGTTCGGTGCCGTTGTGAAGACCGTCTGGGCCATCAGAACTTGAGAAAGAACGAGCTCTCTGATCATTTGAAACTACACCAGGAATACCTCGAAGTAAACTAAATGCACCACTGGCTCCAACTTCAGATCCACTGCTCGTAGAAAAAGTCCTCTCTCGGTTGCCCTCCTCCCCGTTGGCCGTACTTGCTTTAGCACCCATATCACATAAGGGATTGATTTCAAGGGTAACACTAGGTCGAAAAATTCGAAGACACCGAAATATCACTCTGATAATATAAGAAAATAGCTTCTAGAAGTCGCACCACTACACCACTGGCCAGGCATTGCGGCCATATTGTGTGTGTGTAGATAACCTCACAGCCTGCCCCTATCAATGCACTTGAAATTAAAACAATGTTCTTATCAGTGTATTATATAATTTTTTTCCTTTTTGGCTTTCGCCTATTTTAGAATTTAAAAACAAACTTTATATGATAAATCATTAAAATATTTATTGCCAGTAACTTTACCACGTAAAACAATTTTGCGCTCGAAAAATATATACAAATAAAAGGAATTATGCAATGTTTTTGGCGAGAAATTCATCCTTGGTTTTGAAATTATTGATTATAAAATATATATAGTAGTGATAATATTATAAAAGTCGTAAAGTTCATACTGTAAAGCCATAAATTAAATAATAATAGGAATTCAAATTAACAACTACAGGGATATCATAGAGCCTTTGCTACTTTCCGGTTGCCATGACAACCTTTTATAAGTTGTGATAAGATAGATATATATGTCAATAATGATTTTTATACTTATATAAGGGTGATTTTATGTGTTATTTATTAATATTTTGATTCATATAATAAATCTATGTAATTTTAATTCCACATTTGTAATAGTACCAGGTGGAACAGAACTTAAGACCATCAAACATATAATGAAAATAAGCCATATCAGCATCTAAATATAATTGCCTGAATCATTTCAATTATGCAGCTTAAGCATCTAAAAACAATCCTTCCTGCAAAGGTACTCATTATTTATTATTGTATGGTCAATAATGTTTTACTTCAATCAAATCCTTATAAAACTTTTCTTAATATTTCAAAGGATGGACCAAATAATGTTCTTGCTATGGCCTGGTCACCAAACAACATGAAATTAGCTGTCTGCACATATGATAGAGTTGTCTTACTCTTTGATGAAAACGGTGTTAGAAAAGATAAATTTACTACAAAACCATCTGATTCACGGGTAAATACATTTAATATAAATTGTTTTTTTCAATTGGGAAATCAATTTGTGATATAAAATATATACATTTGGGTACCCTTTTTTTATTTAAGAACTCTAAGATGAGTTATGCAGTGAAGGGCTTAGCTTTCTCTCCAGATTCAACAAAAATAGCTGTTGGTCAGACCGATAATATTATTTATATATACAAGGTTGGAGAAGAATGGTGAGCTTTAAAACAGATTAAATTCATAGAAGAATAAATATCTCCTCATTACTAATTTCCTCTGTTTTTTATTTTAGGGGTGATAAGAAAGTAATATGCAATAAATTTCCACAACATTCTCCAATCACTTGTCTCATATGGTTAAACGAAGGTCCGATTGTGTTTGGTCAGGCTGATGGAAAAATTAGAGCAGCTTATATTACTTCAAACAAAACTCAGACTCTTTTTAATGCGAATTCATTTGCTGTATCTTTAGCTGCCAAGTAGGCTTTAAGTAAATTTATCTTTCATAGACTGTTTAATATATTGATTGGTAAAACATTAAATGAGCGCTCTCGTATGAAAGGTGGACCTCAGTCATTTTTAAAGAGTTGAGCCAGAGAAAAAGTTTGAGAGAAAAAGCCAATTTTTTTAACATAGCTTCAATTCTAATAATTGCTTTTTGTAATTCAACTTTAGTATTCTTAAATAAAATCATCAGGAACAGTTTGGGTTGAATCTATAAAACAAAAATTGATTTTTTCTTCTATTTCTGATAATTACTGATGTCTGTCTTTGATATGAAGCCACTTAAATGTATTGTAGTATTTATAATTTTTTAAAAAATATTTTATAACTTTAGTCGTATACCAATTTCTGTCGTTCATAGCATCAATGCACTAATGAAAATGTTCCAATAACCTAACTCAAAGAAATTGAGTTTTATAGGAGATATAATTTGTTATGTATGCACCAATAACTAATCAAATTTTATCATTGCCCAAGATAAATTCTCTTTATAATCCTAAAAAAAAAAATAATAATAATAATAATAAAATTAGTAATTGATGGTATATTTTCTTGTAGAACTGTATTTTTTATTTAGTTCCACCTTTCAAAAGTTTATATGTCTCTAAGTTAATATTCGTAAACTTGTTTTTATTTACCAAGGATGATATTAAATAATTTTTAAGAGAAATCATTTTTTAGTGAAATATTTTAAAATTATCAAGAATATTATGATAATATTATACAATCAATTATTTTAAATGGAATTAAAAACCTAAATAGTTTTCAGAACAAGTGGCATAAAGAAATAAAGATGTTAAAAAAATAAAAACCTAGCCTTTTTTTTTTTTTTTTTTCCTTTTTGGCCTTAAGATTTTAGACAAAATCGTATTATTGCCAGAAATTTATATGTATATTTCATATATAGTTCAGTGGAATTAATAGTAACACTTATTAAATTTTGAATGTTTAGTGGGTTTGTTTACCTTTGATTTTTGTTATCACTTATGTTATGACATATTATATTCCTTTGGCTGTGATGAATTATCTTCATTATTTGATTTTCGTTATAGTTGTTGGGAATACGTCAGCTGAATTAATCAAATTTTCACTATTACTTGTATCTTGAAATGAAATTGAATCTTTGCAATACCACTTATCCGTTAAAAAATAATATAATTAAAATATTGAAAACTTAATGGATGACCGTTGTATATTTTAAAGAAAGGAGATGGTCTGTGGTGGCGGTCATAAAGAGACTAAAATAGTCGAAAAACTATTTTATTTAAAGCCAACGTTTCGACCCGACTTTGCAAGTCTCGGTAGTAGTAGTCAGTAGTTTTAACTGAAATTCCGTGCTGTACTCCCCTTAAGGAGACCTGCAAAGTCGGGTTGAAACACTGGCTTTTAATAAAATAGTTTTTCCACTACTTTAGTTTCTTTATGTCCGCCATCCTAGACTATCTCCTTCCTCTATTATTAAAATAAAATGTTTTCATTCATAATTGTATTTTTCAGCTCAAGGGGTACAGGATTTTTGTCTGGTCATGCTGATGGCAGTATCATCAGATATTATGTAACTGATGACCCTCAAATGGAGCAGCAGGTATGTATTTATTTTATATAATTTTTTAATTGTATAGTATTTATAGTTTTTCATTATTTTTTATGTAATACTGATATTCTTGTATCACTCAATTGTTAAATACCCTCCTTCAATAGGAATCCGTAATATCATGTTTTATTTGAATGAAAAGAGGTTATAAGTAATGTAAAATTAGATATTTGGAGATTAAATTTATATAAAATAAAGCAATATTCAATTTATAAATCTTACGGTTATTATGTGATATCTCACTCATAGTTCAGTTATTTTTTTTAGGAATTTGCATCTAATAGTTAAATAATTTGATATTACAATTTTAGGGCCGGGTGGTTTCCCACAATTGCCCACCTTATGCTCTTGCTTGGCCAGGAGGAGGATTTGTGATTGCTGCTGGATGTGATCGTCGAGTGACGGTTTATGATCGAGAGGGAAGATTGTACCACCAGTTCGACTACCCGAATGAGAAGGAATTCACCGTAGCAACCTGCAGTCCTAGTGGGCAAGCGGTTATTGTCGGCAGCTATGACAGGTTTTTTTTTCTATTATAAAGATATTGAACTCTTATCTGAAGCTAAGATTAATTATATAATAATACAAATATTTATAGGGTAATACTGACCACTTAAATTAAATTGTTAATGAAATCATCTAAACATTGTTCCCTGGACGATTTACAGCCAATTGACAACTTTTGATGAGCATCCTTTTGTTTTAGTTTCTTATTGGTTTTTACAAACCAAGCCAATTTTTTTTTAGAATCATATTGGCTAAAAAAAACTGGGCAAATAACATTATTTCTTATTTTCACCCGTTATATATTAATTATTATTGATGTAGAGATGGTTAATCGTGATATGATATGAGATGGAGTTGGTTGGGAGATGCAGTAAAATAAATACTAAATTTTTAAAAAATAGCATTTTTAATTGTTATGCCCACACCTCGACCCACTTTGTAGGTTTTCATCAGGCATACAAAAGATACAAAATATAAAAGGTACATGGTGGAAATAAAATAAATGAATTATAAGTAAATATTGGTTTCTCAACAAGCGATTTAATGTTATTATATTCCTGAGTTCACATTTACTAGTTGTAGTTTTTTTGTAATACAATTGTAAATATCAATGAATAAAAAAAAAGTAGTCCCGATGAAGACCTACAAAGTGGGTCGAAACATCGGCGTAAAAATTAAAAATGCTTTTTTTTTTTAATTTAGTATTTATTTGACAGCACCCCCCTCCTTCTCAGGTCAACTTCTTCTCATTAATTATTATTACTAAATACTAATTGAAATATATTTTTTAAAATTTAATATGCAAAGAATTTTTGTTGGAAGAAAAAGAATTGAATATTTTAGATATTTCATTATTTAGTTTTACATTTTTCTGTGTATTTATCTCATATTTTTTACAAGATTAAATATATTTTGTAAAACAAAAATAGAAATCTGTTTGAAATTTTCTAAATCTGAGTGATTAGTATATATTTTAAAAATTCCTATATGTTTTATTTAGGCTTCGTACATATGTTTGGAGCCCTAGAAAGTTAAGCTGGGATGAAATCCAAGCTAAGGAAATCACGAACCTTTACACGATAACTGCATTATCTTGGAAGAGAGATGGGTCTCGAGTGACCTGCGGAGGTCTATGTGGCTCAGTGGAACTATTTGAATCTGTTGTCAAGTAAGTTAATGGGTCATCTAGAATGTTGGAATATTTATTTGTATTCTTAAAAGTGATTTTAACATTAGTTAACAAATAGAAATTTTTAATTCTATGAAAAATATATTATGATAAAAATATTTGTTGTCTAGATATTCTTTTGTGTATATGAGTCATTCTGAAAGAACAGAACAGTCAATGTCCAGTTGTAAATATCACATTCCCATAATGTATTCAGAGAATAAGGAAATTTACATAATTTAAATTACATTAAGGAGAAAAAAAAAGTTTTGACAGCGAATTTATCAATATAAATATTGTTTTATATTTATATTCCTTGAAGTATCCAACTTGGATTCTCTTAATGGACAATTCATAATGTGATTAAAACTTCGAAACATCGGTATCTTTAGATTATAAACACCTATATAAATGAAACATGATCACTTATAATTTTGTTTTCAATAATGTATAACGAAGAGCTTTAAAAAAAAGTTTCCATTTTTTTTTCATTCTCTCACCTTTTCGTGGTTTTATCTGTCACAGGAGAGAACTTTTTTCTTCCACAACAAACAACCCATCCCCGTTTTTCGGTCCCTTGTTGATTCTTCAAAAAGAGAAAAGTAGAAGCAACTTGTGGTTTTATTGGTCATCCCCTCACTATCAATATACAGCTGAGTAACAAGTTAATATCTTTCTTTTAACATCTTTCTTGATGTGGAATGCTTGGTATTTTTTGAAGTGAAAACTTCTTAGGCGCGTTTTGTACTTTTTTGGGAGGAGCCTTTTCATTCCGGTAAAGTCGGCTCCCGTCAACTAATTGAAGTGTTTTCGCATATAGATTAAAATATCTCAGAAACCAAAAATCAGACTCACATACTGTAAGGTAAGAAAATGTTCAGCATTTTATCCTCTTTATAATGAGTTGTTATTTAGACGTGTATCTTGATGCGACACCGTGTTAGAGATACAAAAAGGGAAAAAATAATGTCGAAAATCAAATTATAATGAATTTTATTAAAGATATAGATCAAATATCTCAAAACTTAAATTCAGACTTGCATAATGTAAGCTAGGAAAATGTTCAGCATTTCATTGTCTTTGTAATGAGCTATAAACCAAAATTGTATTGTGACATGACACCGAGTCAGAGAGTCGGAAAAGGAAATGATAGTGCCAAAAAATCAAATAAAAATGACTGTTTTGAACATTTGGACTAAAATATCTCAAAATGTTAATACCATGGAGAATTCAGAAACTGATTTGCGAAAGTCAATGTAGATATTTTTTTTTTAATTATCAATAAAACTGAATTTATGTGTTCCTATTCGATTTTGTGTGGAACTCGAAAAATTAATGACCCCCGTTACAAAAGTTATAATACAAAAATGGAGGAGTTTTTGATAGATATTTAGATTACATATTCATCGCATACTTTAGTTTTAAACCTACTGCATCATTTTTAGAATATTTTTACAAATGACGATCAGTCAGAGCAAAGTTTGCTGCAGTAATTTATACACAACTATTGTTATATATATATATATATATATATATATATATATATATATATATATTTTAAATGTTATTACTTTGCGAATATAGAACACAAAATTTCATATTATGAGAAAGAGTTGGTCAGGGATGCAGTCAAATAAATACTAAATTAAATAAATAGTAATTATTTAATTTTTGCCGATGTTTCGATCCACTTTGCAGGTCTTCATTAGGGCGTAGGATGTAGCACTGCGGGAGACAGTTGAAACACTGATTAATATATTTCATATTATTAATCTTGCCTTGTTGATGTTTTCGCTTCTATTATTGGCTTTTTTTTATTTGTTGTATAATTTTGTTCAGAACTTAGAATTTTTCTTGCTTTCATTATTTTTTCACCAATGATTCTCTCACTTATAAATTATAAATGATAATTTAAAAAAAATATTTCCTTCTGATAATTTATTTACTTGTTGAAGTTTCATCCCTTCACAATAGATATCACTCCATTCCTCTATCACTTCATTTTTTTCATGACACATAAAACTTGAGGTTGGCGATGAAACTCCAATGAAGATGGTCAGATTTATTACAAATTTTATGCACAATTTTAGCTTACAAGGAATTCATTCTGAAAAATGGCCAGTTCTTTGAGAATGGCTCATATTTTAATTGGTAATTATAAAATTGATTTTTCTATACTTTTCATCAGCAATACTTACTGTTATATTATATAAATAGGCGCACAATTTGGAAGAAAAAGTTCGAATTGACTTACGTCGGTGCCAGCCAGGTTCTTGTAAAACCCCTTAATAATGACTCTAGAGGTGTTATACTTAGATCAAGGCATGGATATGAGATTGACGATGTACGTATTCTCGGAAACGACAGGTATCTTTTGGCAAGGACTCCTGAAACACTACTGCTAGGTAAATAGCTATAATTCTTATTTATTATGGAAAGAGCTGGAATTAGCTACTATTTATAATTAAATATATTTTTTAATAAAATAAAAAGCACATTTAAATGAAAGAAAATAAATGGCATAAAACTACTAGGTCTAATGTTAAGAGTTTGATTATGAATTTTATTTTCTTATAAGTTGTTATTCATTCCCTCCTCTCTATATATAAATTTAAAGCACATTTTCCAACATTCGTAACCATTTTCTATACCTATAACATTTACAAATTTGGGTACAACAATTTAAAGTTCTTTAATAAGAAATCAACTTTAATTTTTTATCTATATGGCATAATCGAGTGATCTATGTTAAATTTAAATAATCATAGAAGTCTACCCCATTAATAATTATTTTTCATATACTTCGTTCGTTTATTGATGTCTATTTAAGGTTAAAATTAGTTTGATAACCAGTTATGTATCACTTTAATTTATTTTTTTAAATAGGGGATCTGGAGAAAAATTTACTGAGTGAAGTTGGTTGGCAGGATTCAGATCGAAAAGAAAAATTTTACCTAGATAATCCTAATGTTTGCATGATATTTAATGCTGGTGAACTCACTCTTGTCGAGTATGGAAACAACGATATTTTAGTTTCAGTAAGGTCTGTGTTTTTTTATTTCTACTTCAATTAGAGAATCAAGTGGCATGTTATTTAATAATTTTATTCATTTATTTTATTAATTCAGTAAATTCTATCAATTTGAAATAAATTCATTTAAATTTAAGCTTTTTTTAACAGATACCTATTAAAACAGTCCTTAAGACATTATTTATGATTCATAATAAAGAAATTTCATTCCAGGACTGAATTTATGAATCCACATCTTATCAGTGTCCGTATCAATGAAAGAAAATTGCCAAACTCAGATGAAGATAACAAGAAATTAGCTTACTTATTAGACAGAAAAACGATATGTATTGGTAATAATAATTCACTTCTTAATATTTAATGTTATAATCTTTAAAAAAGAGTTATCAAAAAGCATATTTTATCCATTTCAGTTGATCTTTTCTTTGGAATACAGTTGCTACAAGTTTCTCATGATACAAAAATAGATTGGTTAGAATTAAATGAAACTGGTCACAAACTTTTATTCCGTGATAAAAAAAGTAGACTGTATTTGCTAGACACTAAGACTGGTTCTAGGCAAGCGATTTTGAGCTACTGCACATATGTTCAAGTAAATATTATTCTAGACTCCCTATTAATGAGTTTATTATTTTTTAAATAATTAGTTGGAATTAAATCTTCTGTTAAATTTTTTTTTACAAACTAAAGTTAATGATACTTTTTATAAAATTAAGGAATAAACTGTTTTTGATGTTACCATTACAGTGGGTTCCTGGCAGTGACGTCGTTGTAGCACAATCTAGGAACCAGGCTTGTATTTGGTACAACATAGACACCCCCGACCGAGTGACCAACTTCCCATTAAAAGGAGAAATCATCGATATCGTCAGAGAAAATAAGAAAACTGAAGTGAGTTTTTCATAAAGCTTCATCAATAATACATAAGATTTGTAGTTTACTGATATAAACATTCAATCGATATAAGGTAGATCAAACAGCTAAGGCCAGAAGTACCCAACATTTTCCACCTGTGGTCCATTAATAATAATACTTTATTTATTCTGGGACGAGTCTCTTTAGAATAATACAGAGAGACAGAAATGTGGGCTAAGGAGCCTCAGAGATACATAAACAAAAATACAAAGTAATTAGATAGTCATAATAATAAAAAATTATAAGTTACATTCTAACTTTGATCAGTTAATAATAGGAAATAAAAAATTGAAAAACATGAAGTAAAAATAATCAAGAATTTAATAATTTATATACATATTTACAGTAATATCTATTTACAATTTTATGGAGACTGGATGGATAAGAAATTATTGAACAGGCGGGATTTAAAGGGAGGATGTAAGATTGACGGATGTAGGAAGGGATAGAATTCAATAGGGATGAGGATTGGATAAAGAAAGATCTGTCAAAAGTAGCAGTTCTGTGAGCCCTTATGTATAAATTTGAAGACCGGAAACGAGTATTGCAGGAACGAAAAGACAATGATAAAGCTACTTCAACTCTGCATAAAAACGGGAAACAGAGGCGTCCCTTGGGATCCCGAAGATGAATTGTATAAAAGAATTTATCAAATGTTTTATTTTCGAGATCCCCAGAGACACGCCTATATACGGTACAGGAAGTGACTAGGAGCCTACGGTTTAGAAGGGGAAATAGGTGACGGAAGTAATTTAGATGTTTTATGGTAGATAAGATAATGGATACATGGTTTTTCCAGAAAAGCGTTTGATCAAAGGTTATTCCAATATTTTGATGGTGGGGTATAATTTGGTAGGATTATCATGTAGGAATAGAGTTGGAATATTATTAGGAACAGTTTTAAGATGGTGATTGGGGTCTATTAAGATTGCCTTTGTCTTTTCTGCATTCAACTTCAACTTCAATTTGTTAGCCGTCGTCCACTCACTAATCAGATCCAAGTCTTCTTGAAGTTTTTTTGTAGCTGATAATAGGTCAGAAGGCGGGAAGGACAGGTATATTTGGAAATCATCTGCATAGATATGGTATTGGGAGTGATGGATCAGGAGGGGAAGGTCATTAATGTAAATAGCGAACAGATTTTTTTTTTTATTATTATTATTAATAAGTTATTAAATTAGAATAATTTTAACCTATACCACATTATTGTTTAAATTTTTATGTTAAATGAATAACTAATTAATTATAAATTAGAGATGCATACATGATATAAAATATCTTTATAAGGAATATAAATCCTTAAGTCAATGTGGTCTGTAGCTCTGTATTTCATTGATTAAATGTTTTCTAATTTAAAGAATATGATGCTAATATTCTCCTTGATATTATGGTGATAATATTATAATTATATAGTGAGATCACACTTTAAAAAAATAATTTGAAACAATAAAATAAGATACTGACAAATGGACATATATGGCATATATAATTATTAAAAATATTGAATGCAATATTATCAATACTAAAAAAACTAATTACTGACAGAAAAATGTTGCTATTAAAATATTATATCAATAAATGATTATTTAAACACAAAAAAGTATATATATATTATTTAAAATTATTAGATATTTAAAAAAAAATTAATTAATAGTAAAAACTACAAGGTAATCATGATATCACATGGGCAAAATGTTGCCCATGAGCACATGATTGGAGAATTCCTGGCCTATTCTAAGTGTTTTATCAGCCACAATCGTATCCTCCGTTATATAGTCACTGTAGATATTACAATGTCTCTAAAAATTTTCAATTTCAACCTGCCCGTGACAGATTTGAACTGGTGCTGTTTTTGTAACAGTAAAAGTACTTCTATACATTAGCCTTAAAAAATTTTAACTCAACCTTTTAAATTAAGAAAGAGTAGAAAATAATCCTGATGTTAACGTCTACTTTTTTTTCATAATTTTATTACCATTTCTTAAATTATTAAAAATTACTTAAATTATAGATAATAGCCCAGGAAGGAACTCATCAAACTGGTTACGAGTTGGACGAAGGTCTCGTAGAGTTCGGTACCGCAGTTCATGACTGTGATTTTGGTCGAGCGATTCTGTTCCTGGAATCATTCAGCAAGGAAAGTCCAGAGACAGAGGCAATGTGGCTTAATCTAGCAGAAATCACACTCCAAATGAACAATTTACGTGTGGCTTTAAGGTAACAGAACACAGTGTACTTGATTCTCTTAATCTCTGAGCACTATATTATAAAATAAAACTAAAACGATTTGTTTAATATTTTAAACAATTCATTTCATAGAATTTTAAAATAGCTCAAAAAGGAATACACACATCCATTGCAAGGTATTTTCATGCTTAATTAAGACCTGAAAATTGGTTTGAGATAATTTCCTTTTTTTATAAGTTTGCTAGCTCTTAAGAATTCTGAACTAATGAGGTATTACCAACAAATTTAGGAATTATCAATAGAGAACAATAGAAATGACGGAATGAAATTTATAGAAAAAAAAAGGCTTTTTCATAATCAGTTGAGTGAAAACCATCAAAATAATTTAGTGAGATTTTCTCTGGGACATCTTTCTTCTTTTTTCTCCAATCTCTCTAATCGAAGGCCTCCTTCCTTTGTTCCAATATTTCTTCAACTTTGAGAAGCTATTACATGATATTTAAAAATATATTTTTCAAAAATGTAGAATTTATTGTTGTCTTGATTTATTCAAGTCCTTACAGAATAAATAAATTAATAAATATATTATTTCCTTATTAGAAGGAGTTGGTCGGGGAGTGTGGTGAAATAAATACTAAATTTTAAAAAATAGTATTTTTAATTATTTAATTATTTTTAATTAATTAAATACTATTTTTTAAAATTTAGTATTTATTTGACTGCATCCCCGACCAACTCCTTCTAATATTATATTACGGTCAACTATCTCTACATCATTATATTATTCCCTTTTAGATGCTATGCTGCTCTCGGAGACATACCTAAAACACATTTTTTAAGTGAAACTCTCAAAATCGCTGAAGATTTTGCCAATGAAAACGGTACTAGTTCATTTATTATTTAAAAATAATAACTATCTTTAAATATTTGAACACTATTTGCAATTCAATGGGTTTCAGGCGGGGATGGTATGGACTGTCCAGAGGTTTGGGCAAGAATGGCAATTCTGAACAAAGATTTGAAAACGGCTGAAGCTATTTATTTGGAACAGAACAGGCTCGACAAAGCTCTGGATATGTACAAGGATCTCCACAAGTGGGAGGAAGGTAAGAGGATATCTTTAACAAACTTGATGATTTCAATAGACAGTAAGATCTGAGGTTTGTCTGAAATGTGAAAGAAGAGAAATCTGCAATGCTGCCTACCGAAATATTGTAACACCGAGTATTTTCAATCAAATAAATTACAAAAATTAAAATAAATGACACTCGTATATTTTAATTAAACTTTTGTTGGAAGTCTTCAGGAATTTTTATTGAACTTTAAAAAGCTTTAAATTCATTTTTATTTTGTTAGCCATACTAACTAGTAGGCCACTTAAAATTTGTGAACGTTTTGGTTCCAGTCCTAATTCCATCATCACTCTAGATTATTTTTAAAATAAATACACAGTAAAATGTTTTTTATTACACAGAGTGTCTCACTTCGTAATGGCCGAACTCCGGGAGAGAGAAGGAGGGGTTGATTCTCGACAAAATTTCAAACAAAAATGTTCATGTGATGCATGTGCCGATTCCGAATGAAAAAGGAGTTAAGACCAATTATTTGTTTTTTAAGATAGTCAAGGTTTTTATTGAATAAGAAGAAATTGCCTAAAAAGTGTTCAAGATATTTAAATTCTAAATACATCATTGTAAAACAGACAATTTTTTTTGTTGAGAAAATAGTGATTAAATTTACTAAATTCAATAATAAATGGGACTTCTAGGAGATCTAATATGGCCGCTGTACTGCTGCAGTTACATTACTCATAGCTGCAGCATATCTCTGTAATCCCAATTTGTGAAATAATTCGGCATAATGAAAGGCTTTGCGTTATTAGACATGTAAGTCTATTTTATCATTTACCTTGATAAATTTAATCACTGTTTTCTAAAAGAAAATTTTGTCCACTTTACAATGGTGTACTTAGAATATAATTATCTTGAACAGTTTTTGAGTAATTTCTTCTTATTCAATAAAAAACGTGACCACCATAAGAAAAACACTAAATTGATCTTAACTTCTTTTCCAATCGGAATCTGCCTATTATTAATAATCGGCCCGTGCATCAAATAAACTTTTTTGTTGGAAATTTTGTCTTGAATCACCTCCCAAAGTTTTGACATTAAGAACTGAGATACCCATTATATAAAATATAAAATAGTTTATTAAAAATTTCCTTTAATAATTATATTAATATTCTTTTTACTAACTACATAAATTTCCTTAACATCATATTTTTTCTTATACTTGTTATACTTCTGTTTATCATCCACTATTAAATAACTCTGTCTACTTCGTTAGCTTTTTCTTTTCTTTTTTTTCACAACTGAGCTTGTACTGAATTTTTTTTTTCTTGTGTTTATGTATATGTGTGGAAGAAAGAGATCTTTTCAGTAAAAGCTCGGTTATGACAAAACACTCCTATGTAATTAATTTTAACAAATTATCGATAATAAATAAGAATATAACATAAATAAGAAAAAATATTATGCAAAGGCAAAATATACTGTGATATTTCAATTAGATTAATATAGCTTTAAGAAAATTTGCTATACATTGTTTTATGTTTGTATATATTATTTATTTATTACTAAAGGTTAATAATAATAATTGTAAAGGCTCACACGTCTATTATTTGTAGCACTGATGCTGGCTGAGAGGAGCGGCTTCAGCAAGTTTAAGGAGTTGAAAGGGGAGTACGTGACCTGGCTGCTGTCGACCGGGCAGCAAGAGAAAGCAGGGCAGGTCAAGCAGGAAGATGGGCAGCTGCTGGAAGCCGTTGAGCTCTACATGTCCGCTGGTCTACCGGCCACGGCTGCCAGGTATCTTCTAACTTAACTCTTTGTAAAAATTTTAGGGACACAACTTCACTTTTTGAGGATGAAAACCTAAAATAGAGTAAAAAGATAGTCTGGGGTGGCAATCATAAAATAAAAAAAAGAAATTTATTGAGCCGATGCTTTGAACCAAATATGGAGGTTATCATCAGAGTTCCCATGATTCTAGTGCCATATGAATCAACTATGCAGACCATCGTCAGGGATCCCACGATTCTAGTGTCGTATGCTCCTGATGCCAAAAACCTTTACATGCCCTCATCATGTTTTTTTTTCTGTTGGCATTACAGATATTATAGATCTTTTGCTGTCTTAACAAGCCTGTTTCATCTATGCCTGTCTTGGAGTATTTATTTCCAGTTATTTGCACACAACTCTATGGCATCTTTGTTGATTCGATCTATCTATCTGCTTTTTGGCCTTCAACATGGTGTGCTGGCCTTAGACATTCGGCGCCTCAGTAATGATTTAATCTCTCTTCCTCCTCCCCCTCTCCTTAAAACTTAAATTTATTTCTTGCTGTTTTATATTATGTAATATTTGAAATTCATTTCATTAAACGTTTCTCTGATAGCTTATTCAACATTGCTTTATTGATAGGTTAAAATTAATTATTTTAATACGTTTTGTATTTTTTTATTATTTCTAATGATTGGCGAGTGCCCCTGAAGATTAACTGGTGCCCCCCAATGGGCCCCGGAGCAATTGCCCCAGTTGCCCTGCCCTAAGCCTACACTGGAGGCATTTATTGTCATGTAGAGGCTTCCAGAGGGATTGTTCCGAGCTGCATGCCACAACCCATCCAATCTATGTACCTTCATATCATGAGATATTGATTGACCATTTTCTGTAAACAGTTCTTTATTGGTTTTTCTTCTCCATGTGTGGATTACTTGATTACTCCATTACTTTGATCCCAGATCACTCTGGTTATTGTGCAGAGGATTTTTCTCTCAAATCTTTCAATACTTTTTCTAGAGTGCTGGTTAGTGTCCAGGTCTCACAGCTATATATTAGAACTTCCTTTATCATAGCATTGTACCTAGTTCTGCCATAAATATTGTTACAAAAGTTGAACTTTGTTTACATCCTTGGGTATTATTTAGATAATCAAAACGCAAATGCAGTGAGAGCTGCTTGAATCAGAAGAAATCCCATTCGAAAACAACATATCATATCTCGGGAAATGGAAATCTCTGTCTGATCAATGTCTCGCATAATAAAAAGTTACCTTAGGATAGGTGCATTTCAAAGAATGACAGGACTAAGGTTAACCACTTCCCTAAAAAAAATTAGAGCGGATAGATGCAAATCGCTCCTTGACCATTACACCAATGGTCTTCATCGAAAGATTTTGTTTAGCGATGAGAAAATTTTTACAATTGAAGAAAAATTTAATTGCCAAAATGATCTCTTAAGAAGCCCAGTAAGTCATTGGAAGAGTGGAAAGAGGTCATCACCCTTCCTCAGTGATGATTTTGCTTTGATGGCACCACAAAGCTCCATTTTTGTGAAAAGGGAGTTAAAACAACCGCTAAAAACTATCAGGGCGATATTTTTAAACCTGTTGTGTTGTCAGCCTCTAAATGATACAATGCTGGAAATCATTCCGTTTTCTAGGAGGATTCTGCTCCAGCTCACAAGGTCAGTTTAACTCAGCAATGCCTGCAAAAGAACATTCCAGAGTTCATCTCTGCCTCGGATTGGCCCTGATCTCAACCCAGAAGTGCTGCATGCTGCTATTGATGACTGGCCACGGAGATTAAATACCTGTATCAAGGCAAATGGGGGATATTTTGAGAAATTTCTTTTCTTGTTTTACTCTCTATAGATATACATTTTTTTTCTAATAAAGGTTTTGAAAAAATTAATTTGTCAGTTGAAATCTGTATATATTTCCTTGTAACAATATTTATGACAGGACTAGGTATACCATTAATTTAAAATTTCTTGAGATACTTCAGGATTTCAGCACCTTTGAAAGGGAGAAGAAAGCTATGTTTGCAGTTATTGTGGAGCCGAAATATTTGAATTTTGCTACTCTCGGAAACGATTTCCTTTCTCCGCAGATCCTGTTATTGGGATGAAATTTTTGGCTTATTATCATATATTTTGTTTCATCTTCATTCACTTGTAAGCGGTTTTGCTCTGCTTCTCTTATCAAAGTCTTAGCGAGTTTTTTAATGTCCTCTTGATTACTTCCAAGGAGAGCTGTATCATTTGCATTTCAAAGGATTTTATGATTCATTCCCACATGAATCCCTCCATTTTCTTTTACATGTTATTATTAATTTTAAATTTTAAATTAACCCAATAATAATTAGATATTTTAAATGTTACAGATTGGTGATATCGCAGCCAGACATGCTGGAAGACCAGGCGCTGATGAAGAGACTAACTACAGCTCTGGTAAACAGCGAACTCTATCTCCAGGCCGGACAGGTGTTTGAGGCCGCAGGCGACAACCAGCGAGCCATGCACTGCTATCGTCAGGCCAGCGCCTTCGCCACCGCCTTGCATCTTGCCAGGGTGGTAGCTCCTCAAGGTAGGGAAATTGGTTTTTTACATTTTTGGTTGTTTTTATCTCATTTTGAATTTAGTGGGAAAAAACGAATTAATAATGGTAGTTCTTTAACTGTAATTTGATAATGATTATTGCCGATGTTTAGACCGAACTATGTGGTTCATCTTCAGGGCTAAAAATAAAATCAGAGATGCAAGAAAGATAAGATAATACTACTACATACTAGGATACCATCAGTGGGCAATACATTAAGATGGTTAAATTATGTTAGAAAAATATGGTTTAATATAGACATTGTGAAACTACACATAATTGGTAGAATAGCTAAAAATAATAAGCAAGAATACATTGCTAAAGTTTCCAGGGGACTGATTAGATAGAAGAGGTAAGTATGGGGATAAGATGTTACATTTTACATTTAAATACAAGACAAAGTCGTAAGTGTCATGGCCGAAACTGAGGTTCTATATTCGTATCGTTCCGTCTTTGCTAGTTTGTTATGTGCTTATTATCTCAAATCCTGTTCTCAGACTTTGTAAACAGTGAGTTTATAAACAATTTAACATTTTTACATTATAATCAGTGAGGTGAGTGACTTTTATTAATAATTAGCAACATTAAATTGGTACTCGATTGCTAGAGACAGTTTACGTGGCAGATAATTCCCCTCAGCGGGTCTTATCTTTCAAATTCAAGGTCACGGCGCTTTATTTTACGTTCAGAATATCTTGAGTTCGTACCTAAGACAGTATATATATTTTTTTTTTTCTCTGTTTTTATTTCTTAATTGATTATTTTATTTTAATATTTTTTTTCTACTGAGACTCTATTTTATTTATTTATAAAAATGTTTTTTTTAATATTTGTATATATATTTGTAAATAGATTAGTTATTAAGTATTTGTTTTGTAAATTTTCTTATTAGTGATACTTTTTTTTTTTTTTTTCTCTCTTCTTTTTGTATATATTATTATTTAGAGGTATGGATTCTGATAAGAACATTTCTTTTGACGAATCAGATGAAGAGACTCCTTTCTCCGAAATCAGTGAGACTGATTCTCAATATTTAACAAGGCGAACTCTCCAAAAGCGCCATAGAAACTCTGCCCCCGGTTCGGCGGGCAACTCACCTAATAAAAAAAAAAACAAATCCGCTAAAACAAAGCAAGCTCTCAAAGTAAATAAAGAATCAAAAACTAGTAATAATTCAGCTATGAAACCTGACACTAAACCATCAACTAACACATCCAGTAACAATTCTGTTACAGCCAATAATAAAATTAACGAAATCACTGAACCTAGAACTTTCACTGAACCAGTGCCACCTCCGATTTATGTAAGCAAGATTGACAATTTCATTCAGTTCGGTCAAGAAATAGCTAATCTGATCGGACCGACCAACTTCCGGTGTTTTTCTCGAGTCAACGATATAAAGATTAACACCAATACTAAAGATGATTATAAAAAACTTATAAATCATTTGACAGCACTCAATCACGACTTCCACTGCTATCAACTAAAAGAAGACAAAACATATAGAGTGGTTTTGAGAGGTCTTCACTCTACCACACCCACTACCGCTATAAAAAAAGATCTGGAAGATATCGGCCATTCGGTAAGACATATATCTTCTATCTTACATCCTATTGATAAATATCCACTGCCATTATTTTTCATCGATCTAGAACCAGCCCGGAATAATGCAGAAATCTTCGAAGTTAAAAGACTGCTGTATTCTGTTGTAAAATTTGAAGAGCCGAGGCAGAAACCAATAGTCGTTCAATGCACCAAGTGCCAAAACTTAGGGCATACAAAGGCTTACTGCCATCACTCGGTGCGTTGCGTTAAATGCGCCGGGCCTCACGCCTCTAACACCTGCCAGAAACCGTTAAATGAACCACCAAAATGTGCCCTTTGTGGTGAGGACCACCCTGCAACCTATCGGGGCTGCATTATCTATAAGAAGCTATATAAGCAAAGAACTTATAATTTATCATTAAAAGAAGAACAGAAGAATTCTACCCAGGCACAGGTACAGGCACCTGAACTCCTAATTTTGGCAGCGTTTCCTCAACTGCCGAACGAAATAATACCACAATTGACGCACTACCCTTCTACATCAACAGATCATCCCCATCAAGACTCTAGGCACCTATATTCAGACACTACGGTGAAGAATCAACAGCCGCGACGTCAGACGCCTCAGATTTCCAAAACTAAGACTCAGGCTTCCAAACCTAAGATCCAGACCTCCCAATCCAAGACTCAAATCTCCCACATTCATTCAAAATCTCCACGTCAGCAAATGCCTCCTCACCAGATACCTATACGTGTAAAATTACCGCCCGAACATCCAACTCCTGTTTATTCCCACCCTACTGCTCATATTTACTCTCCTTCCCAAGTTCCAAGGGTACATCCTTCATCAGACACTCCTTATCATAAGATCTTTCCCTCACGAACTCCTAATCAAAACCAACCTGACCAACAAAACCCGATCGATTTAATAAACTCCACCCTTGCTTCCGTCCTGAAAGATCTCCAAGAGACTATCAAGCCACTAATTACCCTCCTCACAAGAATCCTTACCGAAATTCCCTTCAATCTCTCACGATGAGCACTAAGCCCCTAGCTGTTCTTATATGGAATGCTAACGGACTACAAAACCACCGAGACGAACTCGACATTTTTCTTCATGACTATCACATTGATATTGCTCTACTGACAGAAACTCACTTCACTCGACGTTCATATTTCTACATACGTGACTATATCACTTATAGATCAGACCACCCCGACAACACTTCCCATGCCGGTTCTTGCATCCTTATCCATAAATCCTTATCCCATTCTCTCATTCCTTCTACTCCAACGGAGGCTATTCAAGCAACCTCGGTTATCATTTCAACTCGTCCTTTCCATTTAACATTCTCAGCTGTATACTGTCCTCCCGGTCATACTCTTACCTATAACTTACTTGAATCCTTATTTCAATCCTTCGGATCGCGCTTTATTGCTGGAGGAGACTACAATGCTAAACACCAACGATGGGGTTGTCGATCATCCAACTCCCGTGGTAACATACTATCTTCTGTCTCAACTTCCAATAGTTACTCTGTCCTCTCTCCTATGAATCCTACCTATTGGCCAACATCCCTCAAAAAACGCCCTGATATCCTCGACATATTTGTCACCTCCCAAATTTCCTCTTCCCATGTCACAATAAAATCCCTGGATGACCTCTCCTCAGATCATTCTCCAGTTCTGCTTTCATTACACACAACCTTCGCTCCTAAGCCCTCGTCCTCTCCTACACTGATTACAGGACGAGTAAACTGGGACAATTTTCGTAAAGACCTGGAAAATAAATTGGACCTAAATATTCCACTTAAGACGAAACGTGATATTGACACAGCCATAAAAGAACTTACTACATCTATAAGTGACAAAATAAAGAATAATACATCTACCAATAAAACTGACAACTCCCAACAGACAAATTTGCCGCAGCATATTCGTATCTTATTAAGGGAAAAACGCAGAGCAAGATCGAAGTGGCACAGGACTAGATATCCATCAGATAAGACATATTACAACAAATTAACTAACCAACTAAAAGCTGAAATTAGAAAATACAAAGTTCAAAATTTACATAACATGACAGAAAAACTTACTACTTGTGACAAATCACTATGGTTGACCACTAAAAAACTCCTTAAATTCAAAGATTTTAACCACCCACTTATTACTGAAACCCAAACCTGGTCCAGATCTGATGATGAAAAATCTCAAATATTTGCTCAACACCTCTCAAAAACATTTAATCCACACCCAGACATCCTTAATCCAACCCACCTTGAGTTTATTGAAGCAGAATTGGATACCCCACTCCAATTGACTCCTCCACCTAAAGCATTTCATCCTTCAGAAATATCCAATATCATTAATAGATTACCTTCTCGCAAAGCTCCTGGCCATGACCTAATCACCTCCCAGATCCTAAAATGTCTTCCTAAAAAAGCCATACTGTTCCTAACCTATATATTTAATGCTGTACTCCGCACCACATATTTTCCTGACTCTTGGAAACTATCCATTGTCAAAATGATACCTAAACCCACAAAGCCGCCAGAACACCCATCCTCTTACCGTCCTATCTCCCTTTTACCCATTATGGGCAAAATCCTGGAAAAACTCATTTTAAAACGCCTGTATCCCATCCTAGACTCTAAACACATTATCCCAGATCACCAATTTGGATTCCGCACATCCCACTCCACTATTCAGCAATGCCATCGTGTGGTAGATGTAGTCTCCTCTGCATTGGAGCGCGGAATGTACTGCACGGGAGTCTTTCTCGACGTTGAACAGGCGTTTGATAGAGTCTGGCATCCGGGACTGATGTACAAACTCCGTGAATTCCTACCACCTACATACTTCCTCATTATACGTTCCTACCTTACTGACAGATACTTCAAAGTCAATCATAACAATGCTTATTCATCTCTTTTTACTCAGTCTGCCGGTGTTCCTCAAGGTAGTATCCTAGGTCCTATCCTTTACACAGTTTATACAGCTGACATCCCAACCCAATCCAACACTGTCATCACCACCTATGCCGATGACACGTGTATCCTATCAGTTAATAACGATCCTTTAATTGCATCCCAAACTCTTCAATCACATATCACAAGCCTTGAAGAATGGTGTAAAAATTGGAGAATAAAAATAAATTCCAACAAATCCCATCAAATCACTTTTACCCTCCGTCGTAAACCTATGACCTCTTGTCCTACAGTATCCTTCAATAATACTCCACTTATTCCTGTTGAGCAAATCCGCTACTTAGGACTCCACCTTGACAAACGACTCACTTGGAACCCCCATACCAGACTGAAACGACTAGAAACCGCCCGACGTTTTCGACTACTGCAGCACTTACTAGACAAACGATCTAAGCTTTCAATCAATTATAAACGACTCGTATATATGACAATAATAAGACCTATTTGGACTTACGGAATTGAGCTTTGGGGCTCCACTAAACCATCGAATTCCTCTCGTATCCAATCCTTACAATCCAAAATCCTTCGTAAAATCCTCAACGCTCCTTACTTTGTCACAAATAAAATCATCCATAAAGACCTTAATGTTCCATATGTTTCCGATCTGGCCCAATCCAGATATCTTTCCTTCCATAACAAACTGCAGAATCATCCGAATCCTCTCGTTTCAAACCTTGCTTCCTCCTCGATCCCTGATAACCCTCCGAGGCGTCTGAAAAGAAGATGGCCTCGGGATCTTCTAATATAGAACTTTAATTTGAGTTCTACCAATGGGTAGTTTCTCTTCATGTTGTACATGCCATGTTACAAATTTCTCATTTACTTATTGTATTCTCTATGTAATACAGTTGTAAATTCCATTGAAATAAAAAAAAAAAAAAAAAAAAAAAAAAAATACAAGACAGTTGAAAGAACATGTGGATATAAATACAGAAAATAATTACAATTATGCATTTCAAAATAATTATAATAAAAGAAGGCATCCATTTATATTTGTAATTTGAATTAATATCTGGGCATATTCTTAAATGTGATTTGTCATCCAATTGTTACAAAAAAAACTTAAATATCTGATGACAGAAAAATGTTTTATTATTCAAGTTTACTGCTTTCCAAAAGTCTCCTTTCTACCTTTTTTTTTTCTCAAAATTAGGTGTAAAAAGCTTGTTGTACGATAGCTCAGTAGAGAGGTCAGGCGTGGTTCAGTGCAGTCCCAATGTTGCTTTTGTCAGAGCATGGCACACAATCTTTTCTACCATTCTAATCGACTGATATTCAAACTTAGTTTCATAGTATTCAGTCTTTTTTTCTTTTTTTTAGTGTATTATAATATATCGCTGAACATGACTATTTTATAATATCATTTTCATTTTATAGAGGTGGTATCTCTTGAAGAAGAATGGGGTGATCACCTGGTCCAGACGAAGCAGTTGGATGCAGCCATCAACCACTACATTGAAGCAGGGCAGACTATAAAGGCATTGGATGCTGCGATTGGTGCGAGGCAATGGAAGAAGGCTGTCCAAATCATCCAGGTCTTGCTGTATATTTATAATTCTTATATGTTTGTATATCTTGTATGTTTGAAAAACATACAAGATTATTAATTTGCACAAGTTATCATTTTATGTCCTTATCGTTAAGAATTTGTAAATTATATCTGTTTAAAAATATATTTACACATTGTTTTACAGGTTATAGACGATGTTCATCTGGTAGCCAATCAATATAATCAGCTGTGTAGCCATTTCGCATCTGTTAAAGATTTTGAAATAGCAGAAAAACTCTTTGCTAACGTCGGTCTATTCAAAGAAGCTGTGATGATGTACTTTAATGCTGGTAGGTTTAGTATCTTGTAAATGAAGTTCTTCTAGTTATCTTTCCATTTCCTCCTTTACAGTACTGACACTTCTGTATAACAAAAACTGCTTTACTATATACTACTTGATATTCCAGCAATTATTTATTCATTTACAAACAAGACTTACTAAGCTAGAAAGGTTCTAAGTAATTTAAATATTATGATAGAGTAGTTAATTATTTTTTAAATATTAAGATCATGTGAACATACTGTTATTTATATTAAATTAATTATGAAAGTATATAATTCAAAATGAAATTTTCATGAAACAAGAGTCAATTTAATGTGTTCTTCTTTTTTTTTTTTAGCTATAGCTTAATTTAGTTCTGTACTTAGTTCAATTACTACTCGATGTTTTACTAATTATTGGGTCAATTATTTTACTTAATTCATTCATTTTTCTGCCCTTTTAGGAGAGTGGGAAAAAGCTTACCAATTTGCTACTGCCCATTTGGAAGGCGATCTCATTAAAGACATGTTTAAGCAGAAAGCTAAAGAAGAAGAGAGTATGGCGATGTACAAAGATGCAGAAATATTGTACACACTGATTGGTGAAGTGGGACTAGCAATTTCCATGTACAAGACATTAAGGCAATATGATCAGGTAAATGTTTTATGTTCCTAAACATTTTGTAATGTAAACTTTCATAGTCATTATGTGAAAATATCATTGTACTTTTTAATACATAAATGTTTCTTTTATAAAGCAGTGCAAATACTGCACATCCAGAATAAAACAGTCTATTTCTAACATTGAAAACGTTTTACCATCTATTGAAATGGAATACTTGCAATACTCTATAAATTGTTTTTAAAATAAAAAAAAAAATAATAATAATAAAACTGTACCTATGTAACCAACTTTTCTTCATTCTCGACTGCCAATTTTTTTCTCATAATTATTTATTTAATTAAGAGTACCTGCTGTCTATATGAAAGATGCTGTGTGTCCTGAAGGGTCTCCCGATCGCAATGTTAATCTATAGTTGATGACATTGAATAGAATAAATAATTACCTACCACACCCAGACTCGAATCTGGGACCTGGAACACAGGAGCTTAAAGCCTTATTCATTGAGCAATTCTGCTGCCCCAATTGTTGACTGTAAATTTTTTTTTATATGACAGATGAAAAATCGGAATCTTTCCATAATAACAAAGTTAATCTTTTTTTTGAGGTTCCTTCACATTTAATATATATATATATATATATATATATATATATATATATATATATATATATATAGAGTTGGTCATATATATTCTTTATGTAATTTAAATTGTTTTGATGTATAACTCAAACTGTTTCTAATGGTTACAGATGTTGCGACTAGTCAAAGAGTACCGAAGTGATCTGCTAGTTGCTACTAATCTGCACTTGGCCAAACAGTTAGAGGAGGAAGGAAATTATCAAGGTGAATATTGCGCAATAATAACCAGTGCCCCGCTGCATGTAGTTTCCCCAATTAGACTAAACCTTATTGTTTATTTAAACAATTCTTATTGTCGGCACTGCAGTCTTACAAGGGACTGGTCCTATTCCACTCTTACCTATGCAGAGCAATTCTTCTTCAGTCCTTGATTTCCATTCTACTTAATTTTTTGCAGGTGCCGAAGAACTGTACATAGCAGCTGGCGAATGGGCTGCAGCGGTCAATATGCTGAGAGCGAGGAAAATGTGGGAACAGGCTTTTAAGGTAGGCATAACCAGTTCCAATTTTTTTGATTTCATATAATAATTAGGAACACTCATTAGGTATAACCAGAGTAGGTGAAATTTAATTTTTCTACATTTACATAGATAAAATGTGTTTGAATTGTACCCAAGACTGAGAACCCTTATTTGAGTTATGTAATATTTGAATAAAACCTTTAAAAACCAAAATCAGCTTTTAATTTTTTGATGATTTAAATATATGTTTATCCGTTGGGGGTAGTACCTCTTCAATATTGTATCATTTTGTGTTAATTAAGTTCCCTCTATAAATAAAATAAAATAATTATTATCTTATAAACATACTAACTAATTACCCTTTTGAAATATTACTGTTGATAAGGTTGCTAGACAGCATGGTGGAGATAAGGCAGGAAGACACGTAGTGTTCGCTTGGGCCAAATCACTGGGCGGAGAATCAGCTGTGAAATTGCTCAACAAGTACAATCTGCTAACAGCCTGTTTAGAGTACGCTTGTGATAGCAACCAGGTTAACTATCCTCAATTATTTATAATCAATGGAAATGTACGTAGTGACAATATAATAAACTAGTATTAATTGATAACGCTATACTACATAATAAAATATAAGGTACTATGTGATCCGTAGAAAGTTAAATCTCTAATATAGTCTGGCCAGGGGGGAGGAGAGAGGGTTGCAGTCAAATAAATACTAAATTGTTAAAATAGTATTGTATTCGAATAAAATATTTTTAAAAAATTAGTAAATAAAAAAGTAGAATATGCATATTTTATTCGAGCATAAGTAAAATTAAAGTATAAGTGTAAGTAAAATAAGCATATTTTATTCTAATATAATACTATTTTAAAGATTTAGTATTTATTTGACCGCACCTCCTCCCCTCTCCTTGGACCAACTCCTTCCCATATTATATCATGGTCAACCATCTCTACACCTCTAATAGGGTCAAGTTTAGGTTTTTATTACATTTCCTACATATTAATTTTCTTCAATGTAAAAGTCATCCGGATAATATGACGGCTAGTTTATTTAAATTGTCCATCTCTAAGAAGATTAAGACACATGCTTTTTAATATAATGCTTCAACATATTTGCATATTATAGAATAGTAAATTATTATAAATATTGTTTTCCAGTTTGATTTTGCATTCGAATTGGCTAAAGCTGGGAACAAATCAAAACTTGAAGAGATTCACCACAAATATGCTCTTTACCTAGAAGCTAGGAATGAACTGGAAACTGCAGAAGAACATTTTGAAAGAAGTGGAAAGTTAAAAGATGCAGTGATGATGTAATACCTTTTAATTAAAAATATTTTATTAACCATGATTATAATTATATTAATGTAACTTATATGATGGTTACCATACTTGGAATTCGCCAGGTACATGGACCACAAAAAATGGGACGATGCTGAGCGGCTGGCTGAAAAGGTGAATGAAGAAGGTCTCGTAGATGGTGTCCTTCAAGCTAGGGCCGCTGAAGAGTTCAATCTTCAGAACTATTCCAAGTTCGAGGCCCTCTGTTTGAGAACAAGGCGTCCTGAAACCATCGTTAACATGTACAAAGTCAGTATTATTCGGGATTACTAATTTATCGGCAGACAGGTAGGTTATTTATTGGTAGAATGAGCCTCAAAGATACTCGTCGAATTATTTGAGAATTTTACTTAATTTTTCTTTAAAAACTTGATCAAAAGACTTTTATAAATGTTTAAACATTCTCCCCTACATTTATATGTTAATTATCTCCATCGACAGGAAACAGGAATGTGGATGGATGCACTAAGGGTATGTAAGGAATATCTGCCGTCGAAGCTGTCGTCCGTGCAGGCTGAATACGATCGAGCGGTCGGCTCCAAGGCTTCCAGGGACGCTGGGCTGCTCCTGTCCGAGGCCAGGCAGTGGGAGGCCAGTGGTCAGTACGCCACCGCTGTCAGCTGTTACCTCAAGGTCTTTATTTAATTTACCTATTATTTTATTTTAGAAGTTAATCATAATTATTACTCTAGATTGGACAATTAATAATTATATTTCCAATTTAGCTTAATAATTCAAATGATGTAGTAAACATTTTTCATAATATCATTTGTATCTGTTTACAGTTTTAATATAAATTAACTGAACCAAGCTTTAAGGATATTTATTTCATTCATCCACCATATTCGTTACTCATTATTTATTCACATTTATTGTCGCCATGTTAATAGCGATGAGAGTTGTAACCCCTCCATTCATCGATATGCTTCTTTGCAGGTGAACCCTTCGAATTGCCCCGACCATAACACACTTGTCAAGTCTCTTGCTGAAGCTGCCAGGATCACAAACAACTATTTGGATGGGGAAGAAGCCGTTGAAATTGTTAAAGTATTAGGTTAGTAAAACATTTCTAAATAATCTAAATATCATAAAAAATATAAGTTTTTGGAACTTATTACCAAATTAAGTTTAGAGATTATATAATAATTGACTGTATTGTGAATATTTTATCTAACTTAACATGTGTGTCATCTTCAGGATTGAAAATAAATTAGAGATATAATAGAAAAAATATGAACTAAGTAAAATAGCACAATTAACAAGAAAATTCATAAAAAATAAAAAAAATGATAGAGATATAATATTAATAAATATAAAAGTAATGGAAGAAGTAATAATAAACAAAATGAGAGAAAACAGTGGAACTATAAAAAAAATAAGTAAAAGGTGTTTCAATAATATTAATTAAAAAGGAAAATTTCTAATCACTGTTTTTATTGACTTTCCAATGTTTATATTTATTCATTAATTACAATAATCGTGTTCATTTGATGTTTAGGAGCCCGCCTGATAGAGGTGAAGCAGTACAACATTGCAGCCCAACTATACATCGGCGTTGACATGATTAAGGAAGCAGTTGATACGTTTATTGCTATCGAAGAGTGGCAAAAGGCTTTAAAGGTTGCCAGGGAGTTGGAACCCAAGTAACTGATTTTTAATTAAATGTACACTATTAATTAGTCGTTGTCATTGTGTTACACAAGAAGGGCATTCAGATGAGTAAAATGCAGTTTCGGAGATTTATACAGATATTTCTTTTTTGTGTAATTTGGTTGTTTTGAATTTATTCTGTTATGTTGTTTCCTTTTAACCGTTAAGTTTTCTGCTTCACTCTTTTAGTTTCTCTTTAAGATCTAAAAAAAAATAAAACAACCTGTAGTAGATGGGCTCTAGTATTTACTCCTTAATGTGACATTGAGTGAGGGAATGAGAAGGAATATAGAATTGCACTTATGAATCGGACACAATTGTGCAGTGAACAATTTATTTATTGAAAAATATCAAATACATAAACAATTGACGAAAAAGGTCCAGAACAAAGAAAGGAAAAAGCCTGGAAAAGTGCCTGCAGGTGGCAGCAGCTGGAAAAGTATGTGGGAGAACAAAGATCATTTGAGGGATGGACACGAAGACAGAACTACGTGACAGCAGAAGAGAAACCCACTCCACTGAAGATTAAGAAGATCAAGGCTACAGTTATAAGAGTTTAATAGATTTATTTATTACAGTAGTGGAAATAAATTAATTTGTTCTACAGGAGTGAATAGTCCTTTTATTTAATTGTCCTGTATACCTCACAATTGAAAAGTAACAAACCAGCTGAGTAAATTCATTCAAAGTGTATTTATTCAGTCCCACATTTCAGATATATATATATATTCTTATTATTTCTTGTCACTCAGTGTCACAAAAGCATTAGGCTCCCGAATTTTCAACAGCAGTAAACACACTCAAAAAAGTTTATATCCAGTTTTAGTTTAAAAATTAAAATTCACGAGTGTAAATAACCAAAACCCTCGACAAAACATAAGGCTATTTACAATTTATGCTGGAAAAGTTATTTACAATTGGTGCCGAACAAGGTTATTTACAAACCTTCTTGTATAACCCTGTCGAGATTCCCAATCTTGAATATATAAGTTCATAGCATTCTGCAGTTACACAACTTTTATGGTTCTGATATAAATGATAAACCTTGGTGCTAGATGTATAAATTGTTTTGGAATTTAATTTCTTGAATAACGTCCAACACAAAATGATTTGCTTCCAGATACCAGAGTTATGTAGAGGAACGGTACAAAGAGTCATTGCGACTCGGAGGTCGGGCAGATCAGCTTGCCGATGTAGACCTGATCAGTGGGCTGGACATGCTTTGTGAGCAAGGCCAATGGCAGCGGGCGATAAGCATGGCTTCTCAGCACGGCTCTTCGGTCTTGAACAAATATCTTGCGCTTTATGCCACCTATCTAATTAAGGTATATAATTTTTTCATAGAATTAATAAAAAAATGAAGAGAAAAAACTATTCTAGAGCTATGTTCCTCAACAAAATTAACACCTTGATCACTAAGATATTTTCAGGATTCTGGTGTAAAAAGCCAATTCAATTTAATGATATTATATAATTAGAAACTGTTTGAAAATGTCTAATCTAGATCAGCTCAAAGGTTTCAAACATCAAATACGAATTACCTGATGTACATAAAAGCAAATAAAATAAATATAAAATTTCAGGACACAATCAAATCTTAATTTTTTTTTTTTTTACTTCATACTGTAATATGTACACTTACATATGTGAAGTTAATTACCGATATAATATTTGATTTTTTTAAATAAAAGATTTTGAGAATTAACTTGTTGACTTACTTTATACAATAGAAAACTTTTCATAGATGACGTAAATTTAATTTGTGCACAGACATGCTCATAATAATTTAAAATAAAAACATTTCATATACGCCAAACAAATTTTCATTCACTTCCTTCATATTTACCCTAATATACCACAAATTTCCTCATAGCTGCACACATATGGCGACTAGGTAAAATCTCCTAAATTTTTCTTATGCATGTTTGCAAATATAAGTTGGATTAAAGAAAAGCGGGTGAGTTTGATAACTGCTTTGTCATACAATGGCATAGTCTGGCTTAATCGTAAATTGTAATATTTCCAGCTTCGAAACTTCCATTCAAGAAATATCTTTCAGATTTTTGCACTCAATGAGTAATAATATTAAGTTTAAAATGTGTCTTATTAGCTTTTATTAATAAAAAAAAAACTTATTTATAAGAATATAAAAATGACGTACTAGTATCCACTCCTCTAATCCCTTCTCCCCCCCCCCACAATAGCACCACAATGCACTAAAGTTATTTGTTAAATTTGAATCAGGCTCAATCCTATATTCTGCTATCAGAAAATTTCCTAACTTTTTGTTCTATTTATTGCTCTTATTCTATAAACATTGCAATCTTTATCAACAAATTACAAAAATAATTCTTAAAATTACAATATGATTAAAATTAAGTTAACGGTGTTGCAGAGCAGCAAGACTATCAGAGCTCTGGAATTATATAATGAATACAAACCTGCCGCTCTCCCTCAGAATTATAACATTTATAGGAAAATAGCTTTCGACACGTTTTCAACACCCAGGTCTAAGCAGTCTTTTGATCAATGGGTAAAACTACGAGACATGTTTCTGTCATTGGTATGATATTATATTTAACAATTCATAAATCTTATCTATAACCGATGGTTTTGATAGCCTAATCTTGTTCCATTATCTGTTACATAGAACGAGGCGATGACTTCAAGTGCAGACAGTGGCACCCAAATTCAGGCAGAGTTCGAACAGATCATGCTAATAGGACATTATTATTCACTCAGGTTTCAACATTACAGTTTTCTTTTGTTTTTATCTCGGTCATTTTCAATCAAAATGGCATGCGATACTTTCTCTATAGACAAACTTGTTAACTTATTACAATCTGTATTATATTAAGCTAAAACTCAATCTATTTCTTTATTCATTACTGTGGATTTTATTTTTTTTTAAACTTAAATATCCCACATAAAATCCTAAATTAAACTTTATTTTTTGTCAACCTATCTTCTTACAGTGGACTAAATCTAGAACTATACATAACTTGACCCAAAAACCAGTCCTCACCATCAAATTATTAGTCCTTCAAATAATATAAATTAATTTAAATATTTTATTTTACTTAATCTAAGTATGATTATTTTTTTATAAAAATTCTTTTTGATCTCACAATCTTTTATTATACATTTAAAACATTCTTACAATATTTAAAAATTATTATTTTTTAACGTTTCGGTACCAAAAGCCATTTTCATAAATTATTTTTCTTTTAAAAAAAACAAGAGATTAGTAAAATGAAATAGTGTTTTAGTTTTTGAAAAAAGTTTGTTTTAAATTCTTACATTAAAAAGGAATTGTTAAATTACAGGATCAAGTTTTTGATAAAATAAAGAAAAGAAGAGAAATTTTGTGGAATTTCGAAAGCAAAATAAAAAAACCAAAACATTTTATATGTAATAAAACAAGTACTATCATAGAGTAATATTCTATATAGAGATATATTTTAAGAAGTTTTAATAATAATGTTTTTAATATGACTAATGTTTAATTTATAAAAAAAAAATTTTGAAAATGGCTCTTGGAGATGAAACGTTAAAAATAATAATTTTTAAATATTGTAAAAATATTTTAAATGTATAATAAAAGAATGTGAGATTAAAAAGGGTTTTTATTAAAAAAATAATCATATATAGATTAAATATAATTATTAAAAAATCTCAAAAAATATGAATAATCTGAAGAAAGTTGTTTATCATATTTATATATTTTATATCATTGGTTCTTATTTATAACTTATTTTTTAACTTTTCAGGTTTTTGACGAGTAGCACAAAAGGTCTGGAAACGATCACGGCAAAGATTTCTATTGCACTCCTGAGATATTCTGATTTGATCCCCGCAGACAAGGCATACTTTGAAGCAGGTGTAGATGCAAGGGTAAGATACATAAATTACATTTTATGTATAGTCATAGCATTATATAACATACATAAATTATATTTTAATGCGTAGTCACAGCATTATATACATGATAATTTACTTGTCAAGGTTTTGAATATACACATATTATATATTTTAGCTTATTGGATGGGCAGCGGATGCTTTCGTGTTTTTGAACCACTGCTTAGACCTGTTAGAGGCCATTGAAGAGCAGAGGAATACAGTAGACTATCAGGATTTGAACAAAACTGACTTTCCAAAAGATGTACCGATACCAGCAGCTCCTCACTTGTCAGAAGACGAAGTTGAAGACATTAAGCAGTGGGTGTTATCTGTATCTATGGACCAGCATATGGAAATGGTAAATAATATTAAAATTTTATATATAACTTCATTTTGAAAATTCCCTAAGAATTTTATTATAATTATTTAATTAGGTTTTTTATTCAATAACAACAACCTCAAATATTGCTCTATATTTAGTATGTTGCGTATCTAAACAAAAGAAGCTCGGTATGACTTCCAGACAATCTTCAAGGCTGTATTGCAGAAGAATAGGGAATATAAGAGGAAGTGGTTAATTAGAGAAAAATAGATTTACGAGTGGAGTCGATGGTGGATGGTTGAAAGAAAGAATCTTGACCTTCCTTCTCTGGTTAGAATATATGTCACCACCAATGGTGTTGCAGATGCTGTTGAGCAAATCATGACCAAGCACTGCTTACGAGAAACTAAGAATAATCACTTATCAAATTATAGCAGAGTTTCTATGGTTTTTTTTTTTATTTCCCCAGGCTAGGGGATAGGACAGGGGATTAATGCCAGAGTTAAATTCCTCTGACAAAGTGACTCGAACTCGTAATCTTCAGGTTATCAGGTTGCTAGGCAACATGTGTATTGTAAACATGTAACACAATCGGCCTATTCGTGATTATTGAAGAACAATTATGCTTATCAAAACTGTACAGAGCTATGTGATCAATTCACTATAACCTTTCGGAAAGAGAATTAGTTCCAGGAAATCTTCAATTATCAGAATTTAAAAAAAGATTAATATTATTTTTAATTATTAGTTTATTGAAATAATTTACCTTCATGTTCATTTTTTTTTTAATTAAGAACATTAGATATTTATGAAATAGTTTCAAATAACAATCATAATAGCTATAATCATTTTCAGGCATTGCCGCTGGACTCACGAGGACTGTATGCAGCTAACTTGCAGGGAAGCCGACCGTGCTTGGTGACCGGATATCCCGTCTTGGACCGCCAGAGGCTGTCCTTTAAACGAGAAGGAGCTGTGGCCAGTAGCACTGACTGGGCAAAATTGACGTCTGCACTTTCATCACATCCGTACTTCTCTCAGGTTCTGGCCTTCTTGACTTCATGGGCTGGCCCTCCGCCTGCATTTTCTTTTGTATAGGGTGTGCGTCATGTCTGGTTCCCTAAAGGGCTCATTTGACCTCTGCGGCCTTATTGTTGCGCTGTGCACTCTTGGATGATATTTATAGAAATTTATTTTTATAAATATTTGTTTAATTTAGAGCTTACATGTTGGTCAATAGGTGAATTTACAGATTAAAAAAAAATGAAAAATATCAGGATCAGAGTAGCTGAATTAAGTAAAGTTTATGTATGAGAAATTAACTCTCTTTAAGAATTGCATATTACATGTTATATGTAAGAAATTAGAAATTAAGGATTATGATTTCAAAAGTAGTCAGAGAAAGACAAACATACCAGTTTTTGTTGATCTATGACTCCTAATGACTCACTAAAACTACTTTGATGTCTATAACTATTAGAATGATTAGCTCATTTTAACCTCCAAATGCATTAATTTGTTATTTCAATGATTCTGAAAGAATAAATGTAAATTTTATATCATGAATATAATATTAATTGTTTATGATAAAATATTTATAGAGTTCTAACTGATATTCAAAATATTTTAATATATTGTTCCAGATAGTACTATTTTTATATCTATAGATTTAATTGTTTTGGATATAGTTTCAATAAGTATATTTTGCTTATTGAATGTAAAAGGCACTTCATATAAATCATTAACTATGGCCCATTTGTTGTGCTGTGAGTCATAAATTAGGATTATTAAATTTTAATTAAATTGCATTCAAATTATATTGAAGATAATTAAAATTAAATATTAAATTCACTCTTAAACAGTGGTTCAGTTTGGACCATGCTAACAACATATTACTGTAAACGTTACAATCTACCATGTGGGTGATAGATGATAAAGCTGACCATAGTCCATTCGGCTCGAAAATATCTCTTAGTAACGGAGCTTCACTACTTTCACTACTAGCTTTTACCTCTACTTGCCTAATAAATTCATATTTTGTTTCTAATGACAATGTATAATGAATTAATAAAGATTAGTGTGCGCATGGAGTTAAGTCAGATTAGGGACTTTTCAGTGGCATTATCTTAGGAAATTAAATAGTTGTTTCAGTAATTTAAAACACAATTCTGATTCAGTGTTTTTCATTTTAAATTATAATAAGGACTTAATCTTTGTTGCACAAAACATTAGATCATTTGTTAGTGAAAATATAAAAGCGTTACACTCAAATTAAAACATAAAAGTTGGATTTATGAAAATCGTAGCTATTTGAAGTTAAATGTAACTACTTTATATGATAATACAGATATATTTTAAATCTAAACATCTTTTTGTCCTCTATCTCTACATGATCATAAGACTTCTAAAGATCCATCTAAATTAATTAATAGTTGATTGATGGTTGACTGTAATGAATAATTGAAGAGAAGTTGGTTGGGGTGTTCAGTCAAGAAGTAAAAATAAATAAATATTTATTTTTATTGATGTTTCGGCCCAAAGTTCAGGCATTCATCTGGGCTAAGCAATAAGTATGAGAAACTATTAACAGTAAAAAAAATAAAAAATAATAATATGTTGGTGAAAGGTATAGTCAAATAAAATGTAGGTAGAATAAATTTAAATTAATAAATAAACGGAGAGGCAGAAATATGAAATATAAATAAAGGAAATATGAAATAATAATAACAAAGTACATAGGAATAAAAAAATTATAATGAAATATTTCTAATATTAAAATAAGAATATTTCTATTACTAACTTTATCATTACTTTATATTTCATATTTCTTCCTGTCTGTATATTTATTAATATTAAATTTATTACATATACATTTTATCAGACTATACCTTTCACCTACATATTATTATTTATTTTTTCTACTGTTAATAGTTTCTCATATATATTATTATCTTGTCTTTTATTAGCCCTGATGATGGCCTGAACTTTGGGCTGAAATGTTGGAAAAAATAAAAATATTATTTATTTATTTTTACTTTGTATTTTGAATGAACATCCCAACCCACTTCTCTTCAACTAAATTAATTAAATAGATATAACATATTTTTATCATTACGTTTCTTGCTACATACTATAATGTCCAATTTGGCTATTTTATCTTTCTGAAAAATCATAGAGTGGCGGTTCTCTAGTTTGTTAACGAGAAGTAGACATTGTTAAAGCTCATCATTACCACATATTCTTTAAGGGCTTATCAGTCACCTACTGTAGTGTCAATGGTAACTTCATGACCTTTATTAGAAAAACCCTCTCACCTGCCTTCCTGTTGCTGAGTTTACATCTCGCAGGTAGCTTAGCATAGCTTCTATCAATCATGCGCCTGTAGAAGAAGAAGGTGAGTTTTTGAGCAGTGAGTGTGTTATGACATCTATTCTATCGTTAACAAGCCTGATTTTATCAACAATTATCAGAGAAACAGTCATCATATGGAAGAGTTTTGCATTTTCAACATTTTATCACTAAACTTAAAAGAAGCTGTTTCTTTATTTGTTCATATTAGTTTAAGATCGCACAATGTTCAAAGCTAAAATGACATTGATAAAAATAAAAGAGACAGACTGTGAAAATTCAAGTTTGTTTATTTACTTGTTCTTCCATCAGATTGAGCTACCAGTTTTTCCTTGTGGTATTTACACCAGTTTAGTATTGTGATGAGAATTTTTATTTCAAATAACCTATTACTTTATTTAAAAATGTTACACTATTGTCGAGCAAAAGATTAGTCCTGCAAAACAAACTTCAGGAAAATTAAATATGTCAAAGATCAGTTCCAAAAACTCAAATAAATAAAATTAGAATATTTAAATAAATAAGAATGATTCTTTAGATAACTTTGTTGTTAGTTGAATTAAAACTTACTTCAACCAAATAGGACAGCAAAGGTAAGTTATACTGCAGATTACCAATCAAATTTTAGTTCGAGAAGTGAAATATCTGCCTTAATAGAAAGAAATATGTAAGCTGTTCAATGATGTACGTTTTGGCTGACTTGAAATAGAGTGCATGACTTGCTGGAAATAAAATTAAATACTAAGCAAACATGGCAATGGGATAAAGTGCTTTAAAAAAAAAATCGGTATTTTGTATATCAATTAAAAAAGAAAAAAATTAGAAACAAATGGTCATAGGATTGAAGATTATATGTGTAAATATAGCAGTTCAAAAAACGTAATTTAAACAGTAATGTATCCACCATGAAACATGAACTAACAGTACTGCTCATATACATACAAGTAAAGTTAATTTTAGCAGTTCATATTTCGAAGTATTAATCCATGCTGTAAAAGAAGTAATAAAATATTTACTTTTCAAAAAAGTAATACTACTCTTGCATCAACTCTTTACTACACATCTTTTGGTTGATGTTATTTTCTGAAAGATTGAAAATATTAATGAAGTGAACAAAATAAATTTGTCATGCAACATATCTTGAGGTCTTAAGATAATTTTAGATCCTCATTGTTTCAAAAGTAATGTTCCGTAGTAACTCTATACACTAGAGTTTTATTTTAAAGTTTAACAACCCCAGGAAAATTTTATCAAACCAGTTTCCAAGATGACAAAATCCACTAATTTTATCTGAATATAAAGTACAATGTAACTGGCCAGGATATAAACCAGATACCTTAAATATAGAGAGCTAGTTCTCTTGGATAGCTTACTTTCTAAAAAAAATAAAATATGCTTTACTTTAATAAGTAACAAAAACCTTTTACTATTGTATAAAGTTATAGTGAGTCAAATCAAAACTCAGTATCACTTATTTTAGTAAAACAAGAAGTTAAAATTGTGTAAAGTATATGAGCAGTTTCTCATCCTCCCTCCACTAGCAATCTCATGACGCCCCCCTCCTTTCAATCTGCATCTTCAGTCAGTATTAGTGCTTGGTCAGTTGGCGTTGTATGGAATTTTAGATTGTGAGTATTATACATCGTTTTAAGTTGTATCAAATTTTTCCTCAATATTTTTAATTATAACGATATAAATTGTGTTCATTACGTTACAAATACGCTTATTTGAGCATATAAAACTTATTAAACAGTTTACTTCCTATGTCTTTATTTTGATATTAAACTATGAGAAACTATAATTGATGGATAATCCATACTAGTAATGGATGGAAGATAAATTCGTATTACAAATTTTCATTTTAAAAATATTAAAATGTTTCTCAATGCCTTTACTATCGCTCTAGTAAAGTTTTATATAATTGTGTCTATTTACGAAAATTAACGTTTTATTATGTAATTTAGTTTTAATTTTAAACATTTCGATGATTTTTGTATTCTTTTCCTTTTACAACCTTAATGGACAATCAATCAAAAAAAAAAAAAAAATACATTTGTTAAGTTGGTGTGTTCTAACAGCCAATGGCGTGTATTAATCGTTTTAAAATTATTAACATGTCAAGAAAAGTGTATGCTATTTTCAATGTAGTTGATTGTGTTAAGTACATACTGAAGTCTTGAGATATATGTTTTATTTTAGGTAAGGATTATCATATATTACACTTGTTATACACTCAAAATTTATCTCTATTATTTCATATATCCATAATAATTATAAGTCAATCTATAGTGTCAAATTGATAACTCATTACCTTCACATTTGTATAAACTTATAATAATATTAAACAAAATAGTGTTTGTTTCAATTCAATAATAATGAGATTAAAGGCTTTAAGTTGATGACAATAAAGCTCTTTTATAACCAGTCTTTATTGGACTTTTAAATGATAATTCAACTGTTTTCACAGTGAGGCAATCTTCGAAATTATTAAATCATTTTTTTAATGCATTAAAACAGTTTATATGCAAATCATTTTGAGCATATAAAATTTATTAAGAAAATTATTGTACGATATTACATCATGTTTAAAATTTAAATGTTATTTTGTTTGTTGAATATTCATAATTATTACTAAGAATATGAAAGGATTTATTTTTTCTCATTAATCTAACGGATTTATCCTATTCTTAATTAATTAAATTAATGTTGAAGTTCTGCAAATGTAAATTTTCATATGTTAATAATAACATTATTGTTTACAATTATTCCTTCAAATTATCAAAATTTAAAAATGATTAATGGTCTTTCTTTCACTTATATATCTCGTTCTACCTCATCTTTAACTCAATAGGTTTTTTTTTTTAAACTCAAAACTGCCAGTAAGGAACCTTACCGGTAATGTGG